GTGTCGGATTGCTCAGCGCAGGGGCAGGGCTCCATGCTGCAGCCCTTGTCTCAGAGGAGTGACAGCTTTTTAGTGTCAGACTCAAGAGATCAGTCTTTGTAAGGCTGGATTTTAAAAATCTGACCCGTGCGAGGCCTGGCAACTTGGCCCATGTCCAAGCTCTTTTCATTCCCGTCTGTGCTCGGGGCTGGCCCTGGGAGACGTGTGTCCTGCTCAGAACAGGTACGGATCCTTTCGTTTGCTTTGAATGCTTGAATCTCTAGCAGCGGCGTAAAGAGCAGCTGGTCTGGGGGTGGAACTTGGGAGACTTGTCTGGGGCAAGTTGCTTTAATGATGCTGTGCCTCAGTTTCCCATTTGTGAAGAGAAGATTGCTCCTGCTTCGTGTTGGGTTTGCACCTCTGAATTCACGCCATGTTCGTAAAATACCTCGATGGGCTAGAACGCGAGGTAAAGAGTTCCTGGATAATTGTTTCACTGCCTGATGCATGGTCCTGCTGTACCCTGGGCAGGAGGGGGGAGGGGTGGCTCGGAAGGAAGTTCACTGATAAGTCTTTTTTTGTTTTAATCTCTTTTCCATAGGTTGTCAAAGTAATAGTCTTAAAATGTGAGCCTGAGCAGGAGAGGTTGCTGCTGTCCTTCAAGCTGACGAGCAGAGCGGCCTCGGGGGACGGAGGAGAGCACGTTCCAAAGAAGAATCGGGACGTGACTTACCAAACTGGGCAGGTATTGATTACAAATGCCACCCGTCTCCTCCCCTTCCTGTCATTCTCTCCCCCTGCCCCTTCCACCTGCTCGCTAAGCAAAAGACTCAATGCAGTGTTGAATTGCTTCACTTCTAAAAGCTGCCTAAGGACTCTCGCTAGCTGGAGGCAGTGGCTGGTATGTTTTGCTTTGCACCTTTCGTACATGTGTGTAGAGAAATGGAAACGAGACCGTGAATCCTACAGGAGGGGTTGGTGGAGAAAATATGTATGAGAATACGTTAAAATGAGGCCCATAACGAGACTGGGTGAGGTGCAAGCCAGGGAGGAAAGAGGTGAAGAGAGGCCAGGAGATGCAGAAAGGCTGTTCCAGAGGGCAGGTAAATGAAGAAATGGCATCAGTGCATCTCCTGGTGTGAGGCTGGCATCCCATTAGAGTGCTAGGGAGGATCTCATGCCCTTTAGAAGAGGGAGCCCTTAGAGTTTTTGCCAGTAGTAGAGTGTTAATTTCAACAGTCCTAGTGAGCTGGCTATAAAGTCAGAAAGGACCACTGTGATCATCTAGTCGTGTGATGTCCAATCAGTTCTGAAGCTGTAGCTGCTAGAGTGAACTAGCCACATTATTCTGAAAATGTAAATAATATTGTGGCCACTGCTATAGCCAACAAGCCACACTCAACCGGCCAAATAGCCACATGTGGCTAGCGTGTTGGACACCACGAGTAATCTGAACACTGTTAACACGGGTCCTAGTGCTTCCCTAAGTTAATTCCCATTGGATGGGGTGGCCACGTTCACGTCTCTAGCTGTAACGCTGCAGTGTGCTAACGAACAGCTGCCACGTTTTGCTCCAGAGGTGGCTGTGCTTCAGTGTTAGGTGACTATTTGCCACATAAAGGCAATAGTTTTAAAGTGCTCCAGTGTCCCTTTGGCACGAAAGACATTGCTGCCACGTGAATGCAAGTTTTATTCTTCCAAGCATGGGGATGTTCTGTGTTTAAATGATCTCGTCCCCTCCTCCCATCTGAGCAAATGAATTTTCCAGATGTTGACATCCATGGGTTGGTTTAATGCATTCTCTGCCATTGGAACGAGACAGTGCGTAGCTGCGCTGTTCGGTCAGAACCTCGAAAGCCTGGAGTCTGACAGGCTCACGTTCCATGTCCCCTGTTCTCTGTTCAGATGGTTGACGTGAAAGTCCTGAAGAAGAAAGATAATGGCCTGGAAGTTTCCATCTTGTCGGACAATGTTTCTGCGCATCTTCCCACAATGCATCTGTCCGACCACGTGGTTAGCTGTAAACTCCTGTACCGTTGGCTACAAGAGGGGGATATCCTCCACAAGGTCATGTGCCTAAGTGACAAGGGAGGACACGTTGTATCCTTTGACTGCTCATTCATTAAGCACCATAGCGTGATGGAGCAATCGCTTTCAGATCTAGACTGTACACAAAGAAGAGCAGTTACACTGGTCTGAGGCGGAAGGCTGGTTCCATCCAGGCCTGCAGTGGTACCTAGACCAGACCCAGGGGTGGTTAGAGCTGGTATCTTGGGAACCACACACACTTGACCTGACTGTTGTCCTATCACGGATGGGATTCCCAGCAGCAGACGTGTTTCTAGCCCTAGTAGATGATGAGGCATCAGGCTTTGAAAACGTACCACTGGGATGACTCGCTTGTTTTTTCTCCCCTGCTTGCGTGCCTGAATGTCAGTTTGTGACATGCCTTTAGTAAACAGCTAGCACCAACACCCAATTCATTGTACGGTTTGTAGTCAGGGAGTTGCAGCTTCCAAATGGCGTAATGTATTAACTTCCAACAGGAGCCGTTTGTGAGATAAGGGCAGGGATGTAAGCGACTAGTCGACCAGTGATGTGTCTAGTCCCTTCCCCCCCTTGCTGCTTCTATCAGAGAGAGGCAGCAAAGGCGGGAGGGGGGCGGAGCAGGAGCCTGTGCGGGGGGGCTGGCTTAAAATCTGTCCGTCCCCCCCATCTCCACAGGAGCAGGGGAGGTAGAGGCACAGTGAGAAACGGCGCGAGCAGGGACTGATTTGTACAAGTCCCACAGGGAGTGCAGAACCAGCGGTGGACTCCTTTTGGCCCTGCACTCCCTACGGAGCTTCCTTTTGAAATGTACAAGAGCCCCAATGGGGCTCTTGTACATTTCAAAGGCTCAGGCGCTGCACAGAGTGCGGGGCCAGCAGGGGACTCCCCACACTCCCTGCGGGGCTTCTGCTTTTGAACTGTAGCAAATATCCTGGCAGTTCAAAGGCAGAGGCGCCCTGGTTGACTAATCGAATAGTCGATGGAATTCCCATTGACTATTCGATGAGTTAATTAATCTAAGTGTAACATCCCTAATAAGGACGGCTAACATCATTAGCAAGATGGAGGGAAAGCAAGGGGGGAATCGGAAAGCCTTGATTTTAGGATCCCGGATGGTTCAACCTGCAGAAGCTCTGGGGAGACCCTCGGTGGATACCAAGTGATTTAGTAGGTGCCTGAGCTTGTCTCCTTGCGCCTCCTCCCCTGATGAGAAGGCCCAGTTCCTTGACTCTGGTGGAGACCCTGTGCAGGAAGCCCGCAGTGATCTCGGCCGTGCAGGAGGAGCAAGTGGTGAGGAGTTTCTCGGAAATCCAACCTGGCATGCAGCTGATTGGCTACGTGAGGAACATCATGTCCTACGGCGTGTTTGTGGAGTTCCCCTTCGGTCTAGCTGGACTGGCCCCCAAATCGGTAAGCTGGGTTAGATGGTCCCTCCTGCACTCAGGCTCTGCAGCCCTGCCAGGGTTGTATTTATAGTGTTTTGAGTGTCTCCGGGATGCAGGACCAGCACAAAAGCAAATGAGGATGCGCCGTGAGTGGCAAAGAGCCCTCTTTCCTAGTCCCGGCACAGCTCCCCGCCCCTGACTTCCCGCGTCTCTGGGCCTGCACTCCAAACAGCAGCACTGCCGCAGTGGGGGAGCTCTCCCGTCAGGGAGGAGAGGGGGGAATTGTGATGCCTCAGTTCTGGTCCCAGGCCTGCCACTGATCTGCTCTAGCACCTTGCCCAAGTCACTTAACTTCCCTGGTCCCCATCTCTGAGATGGGGACGGTAGCTGCCAGCCTCAGAGAGAGGTTGACGCTGAATGAACATCGGTACACCTGCTCAGAGCGCTCTCGGGAAAGGTGCTCCAGCTCAACAGCCTGGCTAAGCCGCTGCGGATCTCTCTTCCAAACAGGCCATGAGTGACAAGTTTGTGACGGACCCCAAAGACCATTTTGAGGTGGGACAGACGGTGGTTGCGAAGGTGACCAGTATGGATGAGGAGAAGCAGCGTATTCTCTTGTGTCTGAAGCTGTCTGAGGTCGGCTTGGAAGACCCAGTCACCGGGAGCTTCTCCTTGCTGAGCCGGTGCTTGGAAGAGATGAAGGAGATCAGGGGCGTTATGAGCAAAAGAAGTGAGTTTTTGGGAGCAGTGCGGGGAAGGGTGATCAGGTCGAACGTTAGGTCTAGAGAAATAAGGCAAAGCTTAAACCACCCAGATAAGAGGAGGATCAAAGCAAGTGAAGATTTAATCTGTGACTCAGGCTTGTTGAGGGAGGAGGATACATAGAATGAGTCCAGGCCTTGAAAGGCTACAGACGGAAACAAAACTTTTTGGGAGTGAACACCGCTAGCAAACCAAGAGCCAGGCTGTGCCCCCATCTGTAAAGGGCTTTGCTTTGAGCAGATTGAGGTCCTGAGTGATTAAGAACAGAGTCAGAAGGGCTACGGGGTCATTAGCCTTCTGCTGAAAGAGCCTAGAATGAGCCAGGGAGACACAACAATACAAAACTTAGTGTTTGCTAGTTCCTTGCAGGGGCAGGGATCTGGGTGAAGAGTAGAACCCTCTGAGAAGGTGACTCTGGGCCTTTCCATGCAGATCTGATTTATATTGGTACTTAGATCCTGTGGCCAAAGGCACAGTAAGGAAAGCCACATACAGAACAATAAGGCACAGGTGAAATCTACCTCTCGGAGGGGAGAGGTGTACGGTGAGCCAGCTTGTTTGGCCTCTGGGGAAAAGTATTGGCTGACTGCCCCTTCAGCCTAAGAGGACAAGGAAGGTACGTCTGTATTTCTGAATGGTTGCAGTGCAGTGTTTTGTGTGTGTACCAGCGTCCTCCCTCCCTGACAACCCGGGACACCTGTATGTGGCTGCCCCACTGCATACAAAGGCAGGAGCATTCTTGAGGGCATAGGACTGCTTTGTGTAGAAGAGGCACTAAATGCACTAATGCTTCGATCCCAAGATGATCGGCACTGTAGGAAATAGAGCCCAGGTAGAGACTATACTAGAAAGGGACTGGGAATGCACACAGCAGTAATTAGGTGATCATCAAACATGACCTATGAAGGAAGACTTAAACAAGCCCAGTTCTTTCGTTGGGAAAGGAGAAGACTGAGAGGGGACATGCGAGCGGTTTTCAGGTATCTAAAAGGGTGTCCCAAGGAGGAGGAAGAAAAATTGTTCTCTTTGGCCTCTGAGGACAGGACAAGTAGCAATGGGCTTAAACTGCAACAAGGGAGGTTTAGGTTGGACATTAGGGAAAACTTCCTAACTGTCAGGGTGGCTAAACACTGGAATAAGTTGCCTAGGGAGGTTGTGGAATCTCCATCTCTGGAGATATTAAAGAGCAGGTTAGACAGACGTCTATCAGGGATGGTCTAGATGGTACTGGGCCCTGCCATGAGGGCAGGGGACTGGACTCAATGATCTGTCGAGTTCCCTACCAGTTCTAGTGTTCTATGATTGGAAAGGACCTGAATTGGGCTGCATTAATGCTATAGGCCTTGCCTCCAGAAAGGCCTCATTCTGTTATAGGTTAATGGCCCGGGGATGGTAAAGATCTGCAGAGATCGGCAGTATGGGTTTGAATTTTTTAGCTTTTCCTTAGTGTTGCCATTGGGATTAAGTTTTAATACTACTTCTTTGTGTGTTGGCAGGTCTAAACTATCTGATCCTATCCCTTCTTAAAGAGGGGCATGAAAAGTCAAACAAAGCAAAGGTGAACACTGCTGCTTTGTTTCTGCAAAAATTTCATCTCCACTGTACCTAACTGTCTACGTTTTCCCCTTGTTGTTTTAGATCATTCCAAGGTGGCCCAAAACCTCTGTGGATTGATACCTGGGAAGAAACTCCACCTGGTCGTTCAAGAAGTGAAGGCAGATGGCTCAGCATTCTTTAACGGCACGGCCACTCGCTATCATGTTGGAGGTTGGGAATTTCTTTTATGGCCTTATTTATTTGTTGTTTTGTCCTCACATGTAGGATATGTGTTGCTCTCTCAGTGCTACTTCTGGAATGAAAGGTATTGATTATGCAGCGAAGAGTGTTACGGATTAGCGAGAATGGGGTAGTGCAAGCAGGAACTCCTGAGTTTCCATTTCTAGCTCTGCTCCCATTCAGAGCATGGCTTGGGCCAAGTTGATAAGCCCTTTCTGTGACACTGTTGTCCCTGTCAGTGAAATGGGGACAGTGCTCTCCTACCTCACTGGCTTGCTGTGAGGTTTAATTAGTGCTTTGAGATCCTCCGATGAAAGGTGCTAGAAAGATAAAATATTAATGAACCGTGTTTTAGTTTTTTCCCTTCCTCTTCTAGGAGCTGGAATATGCTCCGTTGCGGCATAATTTTCCTCTTGATTCACTTAACTTTATGAAATAAAACTGCAAGTTCAAATAAATTATAATTCAAATAATATCCCAGCGAAGTGTCATTTTAAACCGAACTAAAAATTATCCTGGGCATTCAGAGCTGTTTTTCACTTTGTTTTGTCATTATTAACATACATGAAGTGTGTGTGCACGCATGAGCATGTGCATACGTACACACACACACACACACACACACGTATCCCCCCTCTGTATCTCCATACCATTATTAATAAATTTTACTCAAGCCTGCATTTGTTGCCTCTTAGTTGCAACCTTTTCATCTGGGTATTTGTTTTGTTTAAATTCAAATTAATGGTAACTATGCTTACAATAAAGAGTGTGGCCTAGTGGAAAGACCACTGGTATGGGCCTTAAGAGATGTGAGTTCTATTCCCAACTATGCTATTGGCCTGCTGGATGATTTTTGGACCAGTCACCTCCCTGTTCTGTGCTTCAGTTTCCCCCCTCTGTAAAATGGGTATAATGATACTGGCCTCCTTTGTAAAGGACTTTGAAATCTCCTGACGAAAATTTCTCCATATGGGCTAGATACAGGCAGTCCCTGGGTTACGCGGATTATGGGCTAGACACAGGCACTCCCTGGGTTACGCGGATCCAACTTATGTCGGATCCGTACTTACTAACAGGGCTTTTCTTGCCCTGGAGGATGCGGGCGGCGGGACCGCCCAGATGCGCTGTGGTCCCGCTGCCCGTGTCCTCCGGGGCAAGAAAAGCTGCTCCGCGTCTCCCTGGTCTGCTGGGGGAGCCCCTCCCAGCAGACCAGGGAGACGTAGAGCAAAGCCGCGGAGGACCCGGGTGGCGGGACCGCGGTGCGTCTCGGTCTGCCGCCCGCGTCTCCCTGGTCTGCTGGGGGGGAGGTATTTCTTGTAAAATGGATTTGATCCTGCTGTAAGGTTGACTGTCTTTTTTCCTCCCCTCTCCCTAATGAAAGGCTAATTCTGCTCCCATCTCCCTGCTGTCTTTTTTTTCCTCCCCTCTCCCCAATGAAAGGCTAATTCTGCTCCCATCTCCCTCATCCTCCCAGCATTAACGCCATAGAGAAAAAGTATGGATCACTCCTCTTTTAACATGAGCTCTCTCACATCTGGCTGCTAGTAGTAACTGTATTCTGAATGGGTCCTTCCCTGAGTCAGTAACTTCCTGTGGACTGTGAAACAGTTTTATTGTTCATACGCCAGCATTCGTAGGTCAGATGCTCCTTGAATGTGCTGCCCCATAGCTTGTCACGCACCAGGGTCATGCTTGGTAGACTCCTCTGTGGCTACCAGCAGTTAATCTTGTTTTTATAGACAAGAGCTTGGTCGCGGGGCAGAAAGCAAGAGTCTTGGTTCTCCATGTTGATGCCCTCCAGTGCGTGGTTCACGTCTCCCTTCGAGAAGAGCTGTTGAACCCCAAAGCCCAGCGGGTACGTCTGACTTGGGTTATTATGTCTCGCGTGTTTCTGTCCCCACCTGATCAACGGGGGCACGTTTCATAAGTGGAAGCGGGCGGGGAGGAGAGAAGGGGTCAGAATTTCGTCGCTTGGCATCCAAAGTTCCAGCAGAAAAGTCGCCCTCTGTTTGTGTCTGACAGTTAAAGGAAAACTCCCAGCACACCGCTGTCGTGCAGCACGTAGCAGAAGAGTTTGCCGTTGCCTCACTGGTGGAGGCAGGCCAGCTGACGGCCATCCCTGTGGCCTCTCACTTCAACGACACGTTCCGTTTTGACTCGGAGAAGCTGAAGGTGGGACAGACTGTCTCTGTGACCTTAAAAACGGTGCAGACGGGGGACTGGGGTGTCCTGTTAGCAGTGCAAGGCCCCGCCAAGAAAAGGGCTTTTGTAAGATCCCGGAAAGAGTCTGAGACCGTCGAGGAGGCCTTGCTGGCCATGAAACACTCCCTGCGCGTGGGAGACATGGTCACGGGAACCGTGAAGTCCGTCAGACCGACCGCCGTGACCGTTGCTATTGATGACAAGATAACGGGCTCCATCCACGTGTCCCGGGTCCTCGATGAAGTCCCCGTAGGCACGTTTCCGACCTCCAGGCTGAAAGCTGGGCAGCAAGTGACAGCCCGGGTCATTGGCGGCAAAGATGTGAAGACTCACAGGTAGGAAACGAGTTGTTGCGTCGCTTCCAGGGTAAGTTGGTGGTGGAGCAATCGTCCGGAGGAGACGAGCAAGGCCTCTTCCTCCCTGTCGTTCGGGCATTTTGTATTGCAGCAGTGCCTACTGCTGGTGTGAGGACCAAGGGAGTCTGCTCCACACTTGGGGGTGGGCTAGCATGTTACTCTCGTATCACTGGAGATGCGAGTCCGTCCCTACCTTAGATTAGCCACGTTTGCTATCGGTTAATAGAATAGTCGAGTAACCACGTGAAATCTTATTGGTTACTCGACTATTCTATAGTCATCGGAG